AATGCTGTGGAACTTGAGCTCTGTAACAGATGCAGGTGACAGGAGAGGGTTGGCGGCGTGGACAACGTCCCTTCAGCACCATTCTCCCCGGCTTCTCTCCGCTCACCAGGGGTTTGGCAGCAGTTGGTGCCATGAGGTCTGCAAAGCTCCATATTCCTCCTTCAAGGACCAGTGACAGCCTGGCTGGGCAGAGTCATCTTGGTTGGAGTTCGGGGTCATTTCCATGCAACCCTTCGAATAAATCACATTATTCCCTCTGGCCTTGGAGCTTCTCTGCGGAAATCTGAGGGTGGTCTCATGGGAGCCCGGCCATCTGTGGGTCTTTGCTTTCCTCTTGCTGCTTTTAGGATTCTCTATCTTTGATTTTTCAGTTTTAATCACCATGGGTTTATTTTGGTGTGTGTGTGTGTGTGTGTGTGTGTGTGTGTGTGTGTGTGTGTCCCCCAAAAGTTCTGCTCAGAACTTTTGAACTTCCTGGATCCGGTTATCTAAGTCCTTTCCCAGCTCTGGCCAAGTATTGGTCTCGAAGAAGAATTCTTCCTCTTCCTCTCTTCTCCCTCTGGAGCCCTGGGAGGTGACAACTGTCCTCCTTGGCACTGTCCTGTATAGTTCTGCCGTTCTTCTCACTGTTTCTGATTCCCGTTCGCTGCCTTTTCAGTTGGCTTCTGCTGCTTTATCTTCAGGATCACTTCCTAGGTTTTGATTGCTCTGTTATTTGTGTGAGTGTGTGTGTGTGTGTGTGTGTGTGTGTGTGTGTATGAGAGAGAGAGAGTGTGTGTGTGTGTGTGTACATCAGCTACCATATTAAATACTGATTTGTTTGGGCTTTTCCCTCTGTTCAAGTTCCCTTCCAAAAGGTCCCAGTTCCAGTGAGCATCAGGACTGTCCTTTGAAATCTTCTTTGGATCCAGCACAGCTCTCCGGCCCAAGGACGATCACGATCACGATCACGACCACCCTGTTATTCATCGATTGCCTCGAGCAGGCCCCAGTAACGTCTCCTTCATCCTAGCCCTGAGATTTTTAAAGAAGTGCCATATTCAAGGCTCTTTCAGAGTTAGGAGAATGAGACCCTTCATTGTTACTGGTATTTGGCATATTGGGTACGCCACGGGGAGTTTGCCAGACTCTGCCATGTGGGCAGGTTACATTCGGTAGCCTGCCAGTTTATCCAAAGTAGGAATGAGATAATAAGATGTCTTCGGCCCAAGGACACTTCCTGGCAAGTCGTTATCATCCATGGCTGGGGCAGCTCCATCTCCTGCCCACCCCCCCCGCCACCCCCCCCTCATGTCTGGTGTCCGCAGGGATCTGTACTCAGGTGTCTTCATAACAAGGGGTTTGCCACAGCCAGGACTTGGGGTCACTGATGCACTAAGCCCCAGGCTTTGGGCAGCCAGCAGGGCTGGTCATGGTCCAAGGGCTCCACACCTCACTTAAGTGACTACTGGTCTGTTGGACACCAGCGGCCACCTAAATCACTTAAGGATGCAAGTGTCCTCATGTTTGCTTACATCTGAGCAGCAAAACCTTTCATCGGTGGTTTCTGTCGCTTGTGTACCTGCTGGGGCAGCTGAGGGAACAGGTGGGGTGGTCCTCTGCTCGGCTGAGATGACTGTGCTTGGCTGGGGGCGTGACCTGGCCTCTCTGTGTCAGGGAGAATCTCCTCTGTAGTGTCAGCCCCTGCACGTCTCCCCGCCAATCTACATACTCTAGAAAGAAATGACTTATTTGTTAGTGGGAAAAGCAGTGGTCTGATTCTGTTGCAGCCCCTTTTAATATCTTCCCAGAAGGGGTAGTTAATTGGCATTATGTGTTGCTCGCTTCCCAGGAAGAGCAAATTGGATCCAATTTGAGCTCGTCTAGCCCTGTGGCTACTGAAAGTTTAGCTTCCCCATCAACTGAGTACAATTAGCATGTACTGGAGCCAGATGCTGCCCAAGTTGCCTGGTCACTGTGACCTCTTGTTTGAGACCGCCAAGTCCTCCCCATCATAAACACTTTGATGACAGATTTTTCAAAATTAATTTTTATAAAGATAAAATCCATTTTTTTTGTTATTGTTGAGAAGACAAAACAGGACTCTAACGCATTTTCTGCTTCCCCTTCTCCTCCTTCCACCATGCCATTAAAAAAAAAAAAAATCAACCAGGCTCCAGGCACACTCTGTGGATTTTCTCAGGAGGTGGGAAATGAACAGCTCAGAGCAGAGAGCAATCCAAAGCACATGCAGTTTCGAGTTTCTCGTGCAGAGGAATCTCCATGTCCCTCCTCCCCGACGCCTCTGCCCACAGCAGTTATAAGTACACACCAGACCCCAAAGCAGGTCCCGGCCAACCGTGCACAAGTGGAACCTGCAGAGCTGCACTACATCCCATCCTGTCACGGTGCCTCACAGATGGGTCTCACAAAGCACGGCCTGCGTCTCTCTCCTTGCCCCCCACCTCTCCTGGAATAGTTTGTGCTCTCTTGCATTCTTGCAGTTCATTTCCGGAAATGAATAAAAAAAAAAAAAGAACCTCTTGGTTATAAGCAAATGGTATTCAGACTCCAGTAAGTACTAACAGTAGGAAGCATGATGGAAACCATACTTGTCTTGGGTGCTGGAGCGATAGCACGGTGGGTAGGGCGTTTGCACGCAGCTGACCAGGGTTTGATGCCCAGCATCCCATATGGTCCCCCAAGCACCGCCAGGAGCAATTCCTGGGTGCATGAGCCATGAGTAATCCCTGTGCACTGCCGGGGTGTGACCCAAAAAGCAAAAAAAAACATACTTGTCTTGGTTTCTATTTGGTTTCCGTTGGAGGCGGTGCCATGGCTTATTCCTGACTCAGTGCTCCCTCTTGGTGGTGCTCACAGAACTGTATGTGGTGCCAGCAATTGAACCAGCGTTGGCCATGCACAAGGCAAGCAGCTTTCCTGTTGTACTACCTCCCTGGCCCCCTCAAACATACCTGTGAAAACTCTGTATAAGTGGGGGTGATAAGGTTGCTTTAACTCACGCGGGTGAGCCCTGCATCCACAGCCTCCAGCGCCGAAGAAATAGCAGATGTGCTCACTTAATCTCACCATTGAGCATAATCCCTCAGCAAAGCCATTGAGTTGGTGACAATAAGATTTCATTTGAAATAATACATTTATTCCATCCCGTGGACTGAAATACCTTTAAAGTATTAGCAAGTTTTGAAATGGGTGAGAGAGCTTTTTATACTGCTTTCATTTTTCTAACCTCAAGGACTGGATTTTTTGACATTATAGCATGAGTGTGAACAGGTGAAACACACACGGGGAGATACGGGGTTTGTCTGGAGCCTTGAAGCAGCTCAGCAGGGAGGGGCAGAGACGGCAAGCATGGGGCCTGGATTTGCTCCCCAGCGACGTCTGGCGAGACAGGAGCACCAGAACCTCCGTCCCCGCCCCAGCGCGGGAAGAAAGATGGGGTCTCCTGGACGAGCAGTCTCGGCAGAGGGCTTTTAAATCTGGACCCAACAACAAAGGCAACCAAGGGGGCAAATGAACAAATGAGTCCCCAGCAACTATTCCGATCAACAGACTGAAGACCCTGTCCCAGGGACCGCTTCCGGGCCCGTGTTTCTCAGGGATGTTTTGTGAACCCCCAACACGGGTCCAGACTGTCCCTGTGCTCTCTGCAGTCTCACACACGTCTCATCAAAACCCAAAGGTTTAATCAGAAACCTCTTGCTGCTGGACACCACACAAGCCATTTTGCCATCTTGAGTAAATGATTTATGCGTAGGAATTTTTCAGACAGGAATTTTTGTTCCTCCCTGATTTCCTTGGGAGAGAGAAGGTTGTTCTTTTTTATTTGTACACAATTTCTGCATGTTCGATGGACAGCAGGAAAGAATTTGCCATTCCAAAGAAAGGGGCTGGATTTGGAATTAGCGAGCCGGAATTGTGGGCTCTCCTATTGTCACTTGCGATTGATTTCTTGCAGCCTTCTGGGAAGAAGTGGGCAATAATGACCCTGAACGAGTCTCCTCTTAGGCACTTTTTCTGAAGGACTGCTCAATGGAACTGGCGCAGACTCGTGTCTACACACATTTCTTCTTGTTGTCGAAAGCTCTGAAAAGGAAAACAGTCATTACCCGGCAAATCCGTTTATGCCGCCATCGGAGAGCTTCTGAGTAATGATTCTGGGCCGGGCACCCGAAGAGTAAGAGACGCTCTCCTGGGGCAGCAGCTGCCGCCCCAACGCTTCACCTGAGGATGCGGAGATGGACGCCTGGGGGAGGCTTGGGGGCTGCCGGTCTCTCCGAAACCCCCTGCCTGCTAGGGCGCTGGGGAGTCTCTCTAACTGCGCCCTCCCTGGGACTGGACAGTGTTCTGGGCACCTTGCAACCTGCGGGCACTCGGGTGTGTACTCAGCGGCCCGAGGAGGGGGGGCGCAGCGGGAGAAGGGGTGGACCCTCACACAGAAGCTGCCGCCTGGCCCCAAGGCCAAGTGTCTGCCCGCCACGCTGACACCTGGGGGACCAAGTATGCGCCCCCTGCGAGAGGGCGAGTCTCTCCCCGCCTTGGGCGAGGCTCGGAGAGGAAGGGTCGGAGGACGGGGTGGCCTCAAAGGAGAGGGGGTGGGGGGAAGCTGCGGGACACAGTCACGTGCGCTCTGAGAATCCCTGGCACTCCGGGTCCGGAGTCCCTGTCTGGAGGCGGGCGCGGGGGCGCTGGGGACCCCGGTGAGGCGGGCGCGCTGGGCGCTGGGCATCCGGTGCGGGTGGCATTGGGAGCGCGGGGGCCGCTGGGGACCCGGTGCGGGCGGGCGCTGGGGACCCGGCGCGGACGGGCGCGGGGGGTGGGGGGGTGGGGGCGGAGAGCGGCGGGCCGCGGGGCTGGGGGGCGCAGGGGCGGAGCGCGGAGTGTCGGTGCTGGCGGTTGGTCGGCCGGGCCCGGGGTGGTGGTGGGGGGGGTCCCCACGTCAGCGGCGGCGCGTATAAGGGGCGAGCGCGCGCCTCTGCGGGGCTCTGGGAGCGCGCGAGCCGGCGGCGGGTCGGGCCGCAGCGAGAGCCCCCCACTCGGGTCCGCGCCCCCCGCCATGGCCGCGCCGGCCGAAGGCTCCGGGGCCAACTGGACGGCGGACGCCGGCCCGTCGGGGTCCCTGGGCGCGGCGCTGGCGCTGGCGCTGCCCTCCGACGCCGCGTGGCTGCAGCTGCTGGCGCCCGCGGGCGGCAACGCGTCGGGTCCCGCGCCGCCCGCGACCCCCGCGCCCCCCGCGTCCGCGCGCGCCGCGCCGCACCCCTTCGTGCAGCCGTCGTGGCGCATCGCGCTCTGGTCGCTGGCCTACGGCGCCGTGGTGGCGGCCGCCGTGCTCGGCAACCTGGTGGTGGTCTGGATCATCCTGGCGCACAAGCGCATGCGGACCGTCACCAACTGCTTCCTCGTCAACCTGGCGCTGGCCGACGCCGCCACGGCCGCCTTCAACGCGCTGGTGAACTTCATCTACGCGCTGCACGGGGAGTGGTACTTCGGCGCCGGCTACTGCCGCTTCCAGAACTTCTTCCCCATCACCGCCGTGTTCGCCAGCATCTACTCCATGACGGCCATCGCGGTGGACAGGTGAGTCCCGGGGAAGGCCCCGGGCGCACGCCCTGTCCTGTGTTCCGGGGTGGGGAGGGGAAGGGGTCTGCCCCGCGCCCCCCCCCCCCCCGGTCTCCCCTCCACGCCGCTCCCCTGCCCTCCCAACTCCAGCTCGGGGCCGGCCAGGGGCACCCCGCCTCCACCCCCGTGCCGGTCGGCTGCTGGCCTCCCCTACGGCCTGAGACGTGGGGGGGTGGGGGGGTCACCTGCAGAGCCGGGCAGGGACGTGAGTGGAGAGGCCACGAGAGGGGAAGGCTGGATCCAATGGTCATCTCAGAGACCCGGCAAGCGGAGCCCCCTGCGGGACGTTTAGAAACGGGGCGGGCGCACCGTTTGGGGGCTAAAACCTTAAGCTAAAACCTGGATGCTGCCCCGCGCCCCTTCCACAGACCTCAGGCGCGCCGGTGGTTCCGAGCACCTTCCACAAACCGCTTGCGCTCTGCCTTTCCCGCAAGGAAGCGCGGAGAAGCGCCCGCCTGCATTGGGGTTTCCGGGCTTCTCTGGGCTGGCAGCAGGTTGATGCTGAGAAGCTGAGCAGAGTGTGCAGAGTGTGCAGGCTCCAGCCCGTGATCCGCAGCTGTGTGTGGAGGGGGGGGAGTAGTGAGGGGTGTGTGGCGGTGACTCCCCTTTAACTTCAAGCCTCAGCGTCCTCGTCTAGGAGGGGAGCATCCTTCTTCCTCCACCCACAAGCCCGCTTCCCATCCTTAGGACAATGAGCCCGGGCTCCCCACCCCTCCCTCTGCAGGAGAGACAGTGCTGACAACCAGCTCCAGGAGCGTCCCAGCCTGCCAGCACCCACAGGAGGGCCACAGGAGCAGGCGGCAGATGCATCAGGTGCAGAGACAGATCTCTCGCTGTTCAGGAGTCACAACCAGCAATGTCACATTTTAAAAGGCTCTAACACTCGCAATTTGCACCCCCCCCCCCCATTCATCCCTGACCCTAGAGAATCTCAGCTCTTCAAGGAAGCAGGAAAAAGTGCCGTGCCCACCCCCCCCACCCCACCCCCACCCCCCGCTCAGCTCATCCCTACTGCCAGGACCAATAAAGCAGCTTTGGTTGGTGCTCAGGGCTCACTCCTCCTTCCGGGGCTTGGGGGACAGTCTGTGGTGCCGGGACCAGCTCCTGCTTGCCACGTGCATGGCCGTGATCTTATCCCTCCCCGTCTCCCTGGTCCAGTGCAGGGTGGGAGAGGCAGCACGTTCAGCTACAACGCCCCGTCTTCTGTCTGGAACAGTCTATGATACATTATGAAATTCGATGAAAATTCAGTGTGTATGAATTTTGAGGAGGGAAAAAAGTTATTCTCTCCATTTCTTTCTGCCAGCATTGAAATGACATCTGAGATGGGGCCTGGCGTTTCTTCAGGGAATGCCGTGGCCCATTTCACTGGCTGTTTGGTTGCCGGGAGGCACTGCTTGGCCACTCAGCTAGACGGAGCGCGCAGCCCGGGGAAGTCTGGAGCCTGTTTGGTTCAGACAGTTACATGGAGAAGATGTTGCTTCAGATCATTTTGTAGCCAGCTCTGATCCGTGTGCGTTGTTGGAACTCTTGCCGGGGCAGACTGCACACTGGGCCCCAGGAGCCGTGGGTCTGCCCCATCCCTGGGACGGCTACTGCAGCCCCTGAGAAAACCAGAGACCCCCTCACCTCTGGCCCCGTGGCTATCCCTGCTCAGAGGGAGCGGATGTTCCCGCATCCCAGACGCCTCCCCATAGCTGTGGCTGCTGGTTATATAAATATTTGCCCCCCCTTTGATGGAGAAAGGGCATCTTTTCAGCCGCCACTTGCTTGCTTGTGTCTTTTGTCCTCATTTAATTCATACTGAATTTTCTCCTCCACGCTCTGTGCCTCTGCCTGAATCCAAAACATCCTCTGAGCTCGAGGCTCAGCACAGTCAAGGACAGTGTCCCCAAGTGGGCGACCTCCTCCCCAAGGAGACTGCAATGATCTGCAGACTGCAAAGGACTGGTTCAGCCCAGGCGCCACCTGTGGTCGCTTTCTTAGGGAAAGTCAATTTCCGAGGGACACTGAGGGAGCAGTCGACCCACTCCGGGTTTCGGGGTGAAGCCATGGTCGTCCGCCAAAGGCCTGACCTCTGCAGGCCCCTCCAGGGGCAGCTCAGACCCCTGATCTGGTCCCTGCAGGGAGCCTTGGGCTCCAGTGACAGGGTGGGTGTGAGAGGCGCTTTCTGCCCAGAAGGCAGCTCCCAAGGCAACCGTCGCTCACCCCGTCCCTCACCAGAGGCTTGTCATTGCTGTTTGTCTCTTCTTCCTGCCCATGATTTCACAGGCTGGAGCCTCCGGGACAGATCAGAGCAGGGTGCTGAGCGCAGGTGTCCCTGCCTTGTTCTGGAGTGAAAGCGGAAAGAATCACGTGGAGCAGCTAAGGCGACATTGGTGCCTGATGGTTACACTGTGTGGGGCAGGAGATCGCCCCTGGGCTGGCCTGGAGGTCTGACTAGGCAGAGCAGGGTGTGTAGAACAGCCCTGGGCACCCTTTCTTCTTCCCTTTCTTCTTCGTTCTTTCCTAGGTCCCAGGGGCAGGCTTGAGAATGGATCCCCAGATCAGCCTTCCATTTCAGAAATGAGCCCAAGTGCTATGAAAATGGGCTCACGCTTTGCACATTTCTGATTCTGGGCTTTGCTTGCTGATCTCGGTCTTAGCTTTGACACTGACATTTTAGTCGGTGCTGGCCTGTGGTTTTCTCCTCCCCAGCTGCCTTTGGCTCTGACATCACAGGGACACTGAATTTACACAGTGATGTGGGCCTGCCCCGTCCCGTGTCTGTTGGGAGTTTACCACAGATTTGGGAACGTTTCTTTGGAAATGTGGAGACAAACTCACCAATGAGTCCGTGGTCGTTTGTGAAATTTAATTCTTGTTATCAGCAAGAATAAAACCAAGCTCCCTGAAGAGATCAATGCAGAGTCTCCTGCCCCCGCGCCTGGCTGTTCTCACTAGGGTCCCTTGAAGGGGGGCAAGTTGAGTTTCCCTCCCTGCCCCAAGCAGGGCCCTGGCAGCTGAAGACCTTCAGAACCAGCCACAGCCATGCTGAGACCACTCCCCACACGCTCGGACGAGCCTCACGCGTGAAGGAACTGGCAGAGGAACCCAGGTGTGCGGGATCCGGGGCTGAGATCTCCAAGCCTGCTCAGATCGGGGCTGGGCCTCCTCCACCCAGATCCCCCATCTTCCAGTAGCTAGGCGTTACACCCACCAACTGCCCCTGGCACCGTGTAATCCCATCAAGGGCCAAGACCCAGAGACTATCAAACCAAGCTCCTGGAAGCTCCTGGAAGCGGCCGCTCAACTTCTTATTGTCAAGTTCTCACTCTTGGAGAACCCGGCAGGCTACTGAGAGTATCCTGCCTGCACAGCAGAGTCTGGCAAGCTCCCCGTGGCGTATTCGATATGCCAAAACCCAGTAACAATGATGGGTCTCATTCCCCTGACCCCGAAAGAGCCTCCAATGTGACACTTGGTAAAATCTCAGGGCTAGCACGAATGGAGACGTTACTGGTGCCTGCCCAAGGAAATCGATGAACAACGGGATGACAGTGATACAGTGATACAATTATCAGCCTATTCAGATTTTGTATTTTTCTTAAGTCCATTTCAGTTCTTTCCTCCTTATTAGTTCTCTAGTTGATCGATTCATTGGCATAAAGTTGTTCAAAGTATTCCCTTCTAGTTGGGGGAGGCCAGTGTGGTGGCATTTTCTTCGCTCAGTTTAGTAGTTTATGTCTTTTGCATCCTTCGTGGAATATTAACTAAAACTCTTATGATTACTTGAGCCAACCCGCCCTCACAATGATTGATCTCTATTCTCTACTTTTTTTCTGATTTTTTTCTCTCTTGTTTGTTATTTATTTCTTTCTACTTGATTTGTCTTTAGTTTGTCTGGTTTTGTAAGGTTTCCTAAAGATAAATCTTAAACTATTACACAAAACATTTATTAATATGAGCATGCACAAATCACTCTATCACTGTCATCCCGTTGTTCATGGATTTGCTTGAGGGGGCGCCAGTAATGTCTCCGTTTGTCACGTGCTAGTGTAGCCTGATGTCATATTGGGGGCTCTTTCAGGGTCAGGGGAATGAGGACTATTATTGTTACTGTTTTGGGGACTTCGAATACACCATGGGTAGCTTGTCGGGCTCTGCCATGCAGTCAGGATAGTCTCGGTAGCTTGCCAGGCTCTCCGAGAGGGATGTTGGCTTTGGGGGCAGTCTCTAATCACCTTTACAGGTGTTCCCAGTCGGCATATATGCGGGCAGGATATTCTCGGTAGCCTGCCGGGTTCTCTGAGAGTGAGAACTAGACAATAAGAGGTCGCGCGGCCTTGAATGTCAAAAATAACAATTTTTATAAATACTTTTTTTTTTGGATCACACCCAGAGATGCACGGGGTTACTCCTGGCTCTGCGCTCAGGAATTACCCCTGGCGGTGCTCAGGGGACCATATGGGATGCTGGGAATGGAACCCGGGTTGGCTGCGTGCAAGGCAAACGCCCTACCTGCTGTACTATTGCTCCAGCCCCTATAAATACTTTTTCCCCTGTATGTTTGTTGTCTTTATTCTGTCCAATCAAGAATTTTTAATCGCCTCTGTATTTTTCCCCTTAATCCACCAGCTACTTAGAAACCTGTTACTTACTTTCCAGAATCTGGTAATTTTCCAAAGTTTCCTTTGTTAATTGATATTTCATTCCTCTATGTCATATTAGAAGTATCTGTATGATTTTAATTCTTGAAAATTTTTGACATTTGTCTAATGGCCTAAGTAGTGTGTCCTGAAGAAGGTTCCATACTCACCTGTAGAGAGCTTATATTATGCGTACTCTGACGGGGCTCTTCCAGACGACAGGCTATGGTGTGTCCCAGCTGCCTGTCCCTTACTCACTTCAGAGACGTGTATTGCGAAGGCCCGTGTTTCTCTTGCCTCTGTGCAGGTTTGTCCTATAATTAGGCTCTTCTGCGGGTGCATCTGTCCTTGGGTTGTGTTTCCCCCGTGGCGTTCTCATCCCCGGGTCTGTTCCACTGCTGTCAGCGGGCTCAAGTTTCTCTCAGAGTGTTCGTGCATCTTATAGTTTCCTGAGGTTTAACTTTGGATCTACCCACATTTTTCAAAGTTTCAGTTATTCATGGGGATGTCAAATACCATCGGATATCACTTTCTTTAGAACTGAAATCTGTCCTTTAGCATTGACTCACAGCTTCAGATCTCGCTGTAAGAAACTCCCAGGCTTGTTTATCTGAGAACTGCTGTATTTTCCTTGTGGCCTTGAAGAGAATTTCTGGGCGTCTCCTCTTCCCCCGCTCTCTCCTTCCTGTGTCTTGTCAGCAGACAGCCCGTGTGCACCTGGGCACCCGCATTCCCGAACATGCCCAAGCACCTCCTCGCCCCTGAAGCCCTTCTGGGTGGTTCTGTTGAACCGTTTTGTGCTTTGCTACTCTCTATTCTGTGGATCTTGTGTTAGATTTCCTCTCACCGGTCTCATTCGGGCTCTGTTCCTATTAAGGCCGTGCCTCGAGGCCTTTGTTCTCCTTGGAGGCTGGCTAAGGAGAGGCTGAGGTGTCCCACACGCCTGCTTGTCATTCCCTCCAAGAAGCTGTGATTGTGTTGCAGAACGGAGCAGCCCGTCCCTGGGGCCAATTGTGGCCCTGAGCATTTCTCCCGTGTGTGTGTTTGTGTGTGTGTGTGTGTGTTGTGTGTGTTAGTGAACTACCCAGACACACCTGTGGCTGCTCCCGTCTCTCTTTAAGTCTGGCGGGAGCTTAGTCAAGGGCCCTGAGTAACCCCGATGTGGCCCCACCTTTGCCATGGCAGCTTCGACCTTCCAGGAGGGGCTGACAGGGTTTGCCGGATCACCTGGACCTAGCAACTCCAGGGACGGTCTCACCTAAGCGACACTGCTTCCGGACACAGGTGCCATAGTATGGAGAGGAGACAGCTTTGGTAGCTGCCTCGCCTTTCGTCACCTCACATCTTCTCACCTCTCCTCTCTCCTTTCCTTTCTTCTCTCACCTCATCTCTCCTCTCCTCTCCACACCTCTCCTTTCACGTCTCCTCTCCTCACCTCACCTCTCCTCCCTTCTCACCTCTCCTCTCCTCACCTCACCTCTCCTTTCTTCTCCTCACCTCTCCTTTCCTCACCTCACCTCACCTCTCCTCTTTTCTCTCCTCACCTTCATCTCCTCACTTCTCTCATCTCCTTGTCTCTCCTCTCTTCACCTCGCCTCTCTCTCCTTCCCTTCCCTCTCCTCTCCTCTCCTCACCTCACCTCTCCTCTCCTCTCACCTCACCTCATCTCTCCTCCCTTCTCCTCACCTCTCCTCTCCTCACCTCACCTCTCCTCTTTTCTCTCCTCACCTTGCGTCTCCTCACTTCTTCTTGTCTCTCCTCTCTTCACCTCGCTTCTCCTCACCTCGCCTCTCTCTCCTTCCCTTCCCTCTCCTCTCCTCTCCTCTCCTCTCCTCTCCTCTCCTCTCCTCTCCTCTCCTCTCCTCTCCTCTCCTCTCTTTGACTCACATCTCCTCACTCACCTCTTCTCTCCTCTCCTCAGCTCTCTTGTTGTTGCCTCAGCTCGCCTTACCTCACCTCTACTCACCTCTGCTTGCCATTTTTCTTTTTCTTTTTTTTTGGGGGGGGGGGGGGACGGGTCACACCTGGTGTTACTCAAAGCTGACTTCTGACTGCATGTGGGGATCACTCCTGACGGGCTTGTGGGACCATATGGGAAGTCAGGGCTCAAACCCAGGTCAGCCGCATGCGAGGCAAGCACCCACCCACTGACTATCTCTCCAGCCCCACTTACAGTCTTCTGATAACTAATAAACGTGCTTTCATGAAAGCAGCACTTACAGCAGCCCCACCACGGGGCTTGGATGATACTGAGGGGGTCCTTAGATGATACTGAGATGACCACAGAGCAATTTAGAATTTTCTATGAGCTCCTAAATGAAATAACTGAACTCTGATGTATTAAAAATCCTTTATCACCAGGGATAGTATTAACAGCCAACGAGTAATGTTTAGTAGCAAGACAAATCATGTTTTTGTTTTTGGTTTTGTTTTTTTAAATGTCATTTACAGAGAAGAGGCTATTTTTCTCCAGCGATTCACCGAAGCAGAAAATGCCTCTGTGCGAAAGGCCAGAACTCCGGGTGGCTGGCGGACATGGCAGCTAATCCTTGGGCCCGCACAGACTGTCCAGGCAGCATTTTGGGTTCGGAATTTACAAAGACCCAGTGGATGCCTGTGCGACCGGGAGCGAGTCAGACTGGGCTCCTGTCACATCCCCCCCCTCCCGCCCTGCGCTCCCCCCCCCCCCCCCCCCGTGGGTCCAGAAACAGCCCCGGAGGCAACGCTCGAGGCCGCCCACCCCTCAAACTCACTAAAAACACCAAGATAGAAAGAAAAACCCTGAGGTGTGTCGGACAAAGTCAAGGCCAGGCAGGGCAGGGAAGCAGAGAGGAAAGCCAGGAGACGCCCACCCTGCTCCAGCCCCTGCCCAAGAGGCAGGACTGGGCTCCCCCTGGACGCCCACTTCTTCGTGAAAAGCCACATGACACCCCCTGTCCCGAGGGTCGCCCTCCCTCTCCCGCCTGCGCCTGAACTCAGCCCTTACTACCTCGGTGGATTTCTGAACGACTTCTATGGTCTCTAAGACTGTGCTGCTTCCCGTAAAATCATTATCGTCTTGATTCTAGGATGGAATTCACCCAGGGGGTAGGGGGGGCTCTGTTCACGGCCAGGATTCATGCCTGTCGCTCTGACCATGTTGGGAACCACAAGGGGAGATGCACTGGCAACAATATTTCATTCCAGACCTGAGCTTTTATCTCATAATGAACGAGGAGAGTCCAAGAATACGTGACTCACGTTTGATACATTGGAACTTGTCTGTTATTCAGACTATCTGCCGAAGTTCTAAATCTGCCTAGTTATAAAAAGCAAAGTGCAATGAGTAGATTGATGAATTCTCTTTATTTTGAAATATTACGCTTAGGTTGAAGGTCCAACTCATTTTCGAGCCCAAGTCATTCCTAATTTTCGAACTTCCAGAAAATGTTGCTTAACTCTAAATTTATTTGAGAAACACAAAATGATCAGCAGTTAAGGCAGTTTATCAGCATTGTTTTGACACTCCAACGGAAGGGGAAGCAAACATAAATCTGGTGCATTCCAGTTCTTCTCAGAATATTAGCCAGAATTCCGCAGCTAGCCACATTTTATCCAGCTTAAAACTGGACACAGCATCTCATGGGTTTTGTTTCATTACTTTTTTTTAGTTGAATCGGTGAGAGATACACAGTAACAAGGTTGTTCATGAGCCGGTTTCAGTCACACATTCCAGTACCCGGTCCTTCACCAGTGTCCACTGCCCACCCCCAATGTCCACTTTCCCGCCCGCCACCCTCCCCCATCCCTTCCCCAGCCTGCCTCTATAGCAAGCACTTCTCTCTCTCCCCTCTCTCTCCCTCTCTTTCTCCCTCCTTCCTCGCTCTCCCTCCATCCCTCCCTCCCTCCTTCTCTCTCCCTCCCTCCCTCCCTCCCTCCCTCCACGTCTCTCTATCTCTCTCGTTCTCTCCCCCCCCCCACTTCTGGGCATCATGCTTGCAGTATAGGCACTGGAAGGTCATCATGTGTATCTCTTTTACCCGCTTTCAGCACTCAGTTCTTGTCCAGCGTGATCATTTCCAACTATCATGGTCACACTGGTCCCTTTATCCTCACCGTTTCCCCCTGGCCCTGCCACCTGTGCCAAGCTTCCGTCCTTGGACCTGTCCCCCTGCTCCTTGTTTTCACTCCCCATGGGGTGTTGGTCTCATATGACGCTTTCCTATATCCCACGGGTAAACATAGCCCCGCTAGACCATCCCTCGCTGCTCGTTTCACTCAGCGCGATACTCCCGCGTCCATCCATGTATAAGCAGGTTTCTTGAGTTCCGAGTCACCAGGAAAAACGAAGCCATGAAATCTGTTTTGCTCCTTTAGCACGTGAATGAAATCATCTGCCTTCCACTTAATTTGTCGTTTCCCACTGTGCTGAGACCTGCCCCTAAAACGCCGCCCGTGGCGATGTGTGTGTTGCACGCCTTGCACAGAGCACGTCTGAACTCACGCATGGGGTGGGGAAAAAGCTTCCCCGCCGCTGCCTGGGTGCCTGTGGGTCCCCCCCGACTCCCCATCCTGCAGTCGGACCTTCACGCTGGGTCCCCCTCGCTGGGGCCTCCTCCTGGCCCTCACAGAGGCCTAGGCCAGCATCGAGTCCACAGAACTCCCTCTGGACAGTTGGTCAGCAGCAGCCCTGGGCTCTGAGCTGAGCCTCGGGCCCTGTGTCCACGGCTCCCCGTGCCCTGGGCATGTACAGGACCCGGGTCCTGCCCCCCTGCCAGGGCACGGCTGCATGTCGCCATTCACCCCGGGACAGGAACGCCCCCTTTCTGGGCTCGAGTTGAGGGCCACAAGGCGTGGCAGTGCCCGGCTGGGACTGGACCAACCCCCACCCAGAGGGGCACCTGCTCCCCTGCGCACCACCCATCATATCCCCGCCCCACCCCCGCCCCGCCTCCGTGCACACAGCAGCAAGTGCTGTCGTTTGTGTCTAGGTACATGGCCATCATCGATCCCCTGAAGCCCAGACTGTCGGCCAAGGCCACCAAGCTGGTCATCGGGAGCATCTGGGTGCTGGCCTTCCTGCTGGCCCTCCCGCAGTACCTGTACTCCAGAATCCAGGTCCTGCCCAGCCGCACGCTGTGCTACGTGCAGTGGCCAGAAGGCCCCAAGCAGCACTTCATGTATGTCTACTCTGTTACGATGCTCTTGGTTGGGGGGGGGGGGGGGCGCGGAGGGGGGGTGCACAGTGCCCAGGGCTTATTCCTGGCTCTGTGCTCAGGGACCACTCCAGGCAGGCTGGGGTGGTAGGGAGAATTCACTAGGCAAATAAAGTCTAGATATTGCCCTCCTGGGCTCTCACATTGAGAAAAAGATGCGTGGGAATGCTAGGAATATACTAACTCCTGGGCAGGAAGTTTGTGTAAGTTCTAAACTTTCCTAATGGGAAAAACAGGATGACTACCAACTTCCTTGGGTTGGGGAAGGAGAGGGGAGTGACAGAGGGCTTCCTGGAGGAGGAGGAGGAAAGTTCCCTGGAGGAGAGAACTCGGGGCCTGACGATGCTCCCTGGAGATGCCAGGCCGAAGGGATGGGGAGTCTGTTTGTGCGTCTTTGTTTTGCCACCCGAGAAACCTGGGCACAGATGGGCAGAGGATAAGGATGCTACGGGAAGGACTCAAACCTGCCACATTTTGAAAACTAAAGGGGAAATTAGACACGGTTGTGCAGCCACTTGCACTTTACTTTGGTTCTTAATTTGTCAGCTGCTCTGTGGTTCGAGCAAATACAACGATCATCTTGCAAAGCCAAATTTTAGTCTGACCCGGTCTGCCCCAAGTCCAGGTTCGTTGAAGGACAGTGTTAGTTCAGAAGCACCCAGGAGGCCACACCTCCCACAGCAGACACCGTCTCTCCCGGTGACTGCCCCCGACAGCGCCACGGCTCAGCTGGGCCTTTCCAGGCAATGGTCAGCTCTAAGAGTCTGACCAACAGCTGATGACGAGGGTAGCCCTGATAGTCTGGTGGGCAGCAGGCAGTGAGGGTCAGTCCTAAGTGTCTGGCGGCAGCGGGCACTAAGGGTCAGCCCTAAGGGTCTGGCGAGCAGCAGGGGGCGAGGATCAGCTGTCCAGCGACTCTGGGGCCTGGGGCCCAGGGCAGGCCGTGGCCAAGTCGGGCACCTGCTCAGCCGGGGCCTTCTCTGCCCACAGCTACCACATGGCGGTCATCGTGCTGGTGTACTTCCTGCCTCTGCTCGTCATGGGGGTCACCTACACCCTCGTGGGGCTCACCCTGTGGGGCGGCGAGATCCCGGGGGACACCTGCGACAAGTACCACGAGCAGCTCAAGGCCAAGAGGAAGGTACTGGTCACGCCCTTCATCCATGTTCCCTCTCCTCCCTCTTCAGGGCCAGGAGGTGGGGGACCCGCTCAGCTCCGAGCTCAAGGGCGGGGCCAGCGCTGCCAAACCAGCCCCCCACCCCTGTGCCCAGAGGCCAATCGCCACAGCGAGAGGGCATGGTGGGGGGGTAAGGGGGGAGGAGAGGGGGCGGGGGGGCTCCCAACCACAGCCGCGGGGCCTTCCTGGGAAACGGGGTGAGTGGGAGGGGGAATCTCCAAAAGTTGGGAGCAGACGGCCCTGCAACCAGCAGCTCCCACCAGGAGCACGGACATGCTGGACAGAAAGGGGCGTGGCCCTCCAACTGCAGAGCTGGACACAGCTCCCGCGCACGCGCGTGGAAGTGTGCGTCTCCATGCACGGCTGCTCCCCCGGCTCAGCCCAGTCAGTGGGAAACATGGGGTGGGAGGGGAAGGGAGGGCGGGACGGGTTGGGGGGAGGTGGGGATGGTCAGCAATGCAGCTGGGAGGAGGAAGACAGAAGCCAGGTGAGGCCACTGGTAAGGTAAAGGTAAAGGCCCTCCCGTTGATCGTCGATTTGCTCGAGCGGGCCCAGTAACGTCTCCATTGGAGACCTTGTTGTTACTGTGTCTGGCATATCGAATACTCTCGGTAGCTTGCCGGGCTCTCCGAGAGGGGCGGAGGAATCGAACTCGGGTGGCCATGTTGGCCGCTTGTAAGGCGAACGCCCTACCCGCTGTGCTATCGGTGGCACCTAAAACAGCAAACACAGGGACACACAGCCCGGGAGAGCTGCCTCTGCTGGACCCGCTGGGGCACGGCCGGGCTGGCATCGTTTTCTGCCACGTAACGGGACACAGGCTCTGAGGGCCGGTTGCTTCACCCGGCTGCCAGCTTCCAGCCTGCCCGTCTGGCACTGGTCAAGGCCAGCGGCCAGTTCTGGCCCCCATGCCCACCCCCGGCCATGAGTGAGGCCCAAGTGAGGGTGTGAGTCGCCAGATGAAACCTCAGGGCAGCTTCTCCGCAGAACGAGAGGTGGGCCAGGCCCAGCCCCTTGTTCTTCTGACATTTTTGGTACAGAGGAGTTTGCTTTGAACATCCCGGGCTCCTTTTGATGCACTGAGAGACCTCCTGGACAGTGCTCCTTAAACAGTACTCCCTGGAAAGTGCTCCCAGTCGGTGCTCCCAGGACAGTGCTCCCAGCTCACTACTCCCTGGAAAGTGCTCCCAAGTCAGTGTGGCCCTGAAGCACGGGCAGGTCCAGGTCGCTCCAGGGGACTGACAGCCCTGGGAGCCACGGGATCCTTCCCTTCTCCCTGCACACACCACGCACCCGCATCCCATGGCTACGCCCGCCTCTCCAGCTAACCACTTGGCCCAGTGTACACTCACACACCTCCAGCGCTACACTGGGCCTTGCCGGCCACAGGGAAGAGTCACCGAGACACTCACTCCACCTTCAAGGTCCACAGGACGCAGTGGAGAGAAATCAAGGTGGACCTTGGTCTCCAGAACACGAGGACTGAGAGCGTGGGCACGGGAGTCCACGTCCCTCCACATGGCCACTTGCGGAGAAATGGGCGATCCCTGACATGGAAGGATCAGGGGGCCCGCCTGGATGCTGTGTGGCCCCACTGCCTACTTTGGGGTGGCTACCTAACCCCTGCCACCCTCTGTGCCGAGATGGAGGGACAGTGACAGGGGCGGGGTCTGCAACGGGGAGCAGCCTGTCCAGGCGGCCACAGGACGGAGAGGTCTCCTGAGTGACCTCCCCTCTCCCCTCTCTTCCCCTTCCTCTCCTCCTTCCCTCTCCCTCTTTCTCACCTCTCCCTCTCTGTTCCTCTCCCTCCCTCTCCCTCTCCCTCTCTCTCCCCCTTTCCTTCTAACCCTCTCTCTCCCCTCCCCCATCCCATCCCCCCTCTCCCGTGCCCAGGTGGTGAAGATGATGGTCCTGGTGGTGGTGACCTTCGCCGTGTGCTGGCTGCCCTACCACACCTATTTCATCCTCACAGCCGTGTACCAGCAGCTCAGCAGGTGGAAGTACATCCAGCAGGTCTACCTGGGCAGCTTCTGGCTGGCCATGAGCTCCACCATGTACAACCCCATCATCTACTGCTGCCTGAACAAGAGGTGGGCGCCCGTCCGCGCCACGGCCCCCCACACACACACAGCAGCTGCCACTCAACCCCTTTCTCCAAAGCCCTCCAGGCTGGATCTGCGGGGGAAAAGGGGTGCCCTTCTGAGGGGGCTGAGACGGGGTGTCAACCAGCTCGCAGAGGATGCTGGGGAGATCCCCAGGGACCCTGGGGGCGGGCAAGCCTGAGTGTCTAGAGTTGAACTGAGACAAGAGGGGAAGGTCAAGTATGGTCCCCAGACCTGACCACATCACCCACAGGGCCAGCGCACAGGGACGGGTGGGGCACATTTCTCAGATCTGACCCCCCCATGAGCGCTGAGTGTCAGGAGAGCCCACCCCCTCCCAGCCGGGGCCACAGCTCTTTCCCACGGCACCCCCCATGTTACTCCTCAGCATTCCCTGGCAGCCGGGACATGGGGACCCCCGTGTCAGGACTGAGACATGCCAACCCCTGCGCCCTGGGAAACGGAGGCCGTGAAACAGAGCACCAACCCCGCCGAGCTGACGCAGCAGTCGGGCAGGGCCTGCGGGCCAGCTGGCGGGGGACTGTCCTGCTGGCCAGGCTGACCCACTGTGCTCTGCCCCCAGGTTCCGAGCAGGTTTCAAGAGGGCCTTCCGCTGGTGCCCCTTCATCCACATGTCCAGCTACGATGAGATGGAGCTCAGGCCCACCCGGTTCCGCCCGACCCAGCATAGCAGCCTATACACGGTGACCCGGCTGGAGTCCATGACGGCGAGTGACCAGGGTCAGCTCAGCGGGAAGAGGCCAGCAGCTGGCCCCGCGGGGCCTCCGTCCCCACCGGCTTCTTGAGCCTCTCCCCCCCACCTTCCTAGGGGAGTGTCTGAGCCCCCGGCCACACCCATCTCCCTGCACGCCCGAGAGGGGACAAACGCCACCAAGCAGCCACGGGAGGCCCTGTTACACGCGTGTCCTCTGACCACGGACAGTGAAGGTGTGAGGCCTCGGGGAGGAGGGCTCTGTGGCGAAACCAGGCTCTGTGGACGGGAGAGAGGTCAGTGCCCCCCCCCAAAGAAAACAAAGCTCAAAGCATAGAATTCTGGAAATCTTGGCTCAAGAAACTTTGGGGCAGGGCATTTGCCTTACACACAGCCGAACTGGGTTCAATTTCCAGCATCCCATATGGTCCCCTGAGCACCGCCAGGAGTAATTCCTGAGTGCATGAGCCAGGAGTAACCCCTGAGCATCACTGGGTGTGACCCAAAAAGCAAAAAAGAAAAAAAACTTTGGGGCAGGGGATGGCAGCACCTACCAGGCACAAGGGGTACCTAGCAATATGTAGGTCCCGGGGGCCTGGCCCCGAAGGGTCCCCAGCACAACGCTGGGAGCAGCCCCCAAGCACTGCCAGGTGTGGCCCTGGCCCCCAGAACCCTCCCTCTCCCCCCCAATAAAGGGAAAACATCTTGTTAAATGGAGACTCAAAAATTCCAAGAACGTCTGCGCAGAAAGGAAGTGTGCTCTTGTCCTCACGTGCCCTCTCTGGCGGCTGCGTGTGTCAGCATCTTTATCTTCCTGAGGAGTGGTTAGTTGTCAAGTTGTAAAACTCACTGTTGTTTTGATTATCTACATTCAAGTTCTAATCCGGGAAAATGTTAAGACCATAAGAAAGAGAAAGACAATCCTCTCTGGGTGAGGCTTACTTTGCAGAAACTCGACTCTCTTTGACCAGGACAGTTCCAAACGCCAAGGACGGTTTCAGGAGGACCCATCACTGCTGGGGCTCTGAGGGGCCTATCCGCGGGGCCTGGGGACAGCCAGTTCCTGCCTGGCCCTTTGCTAAAGCCAGACTGTGGGCCTCTAGATCAGGCCAGAGCCCTGCAACCTGCGTCCACCGTGCAGGGAGTCAGTGTGCCAAGATCAAAATTCAGGGAGAAAATATGCACAGTGTAAGGCCTATCCGAGTAGCCGGTGTGTGTATTATGGAGGGAGGAGGGTAGAGACTGTTACCTCAGGGAAGGAGAGCCCAGGGCTGCAGGGGAGGGGAGGGGAGAGCCCACAATTACAGGGGAGAGTTGAGGAGAGCCCACAGTTACAGGGGAGAGTTGAGGAGAGCCCACAGTTACAGGGGAGGGGAGAGGAGAGCCCACAGTTACAGGGCAGGGGAGGGGAGCTATGGCTTGGGGGGACTCACCGCCATCGGGAGCCGGTCTTGCTGCTGTGCTCGGGTCCTGAGCAGGCGCTCCTGCAGGGACCTGGGCAAGAGGACACCTGCGGCTCTGCGTCCCTGAGCTGCATGGGGAGGGCACCCCTTACCCAGAGGCCTCAGGGCCCCCTCCATCAGCCGAGACCCAAGACCCAGCCGGTGTGCAGAAACTGAAGGCACGCCTCGGAGCCAGAGCGCCCGGAGCTGCGGGACCCAGTTCCCAGGCCTGTGGGTGTCCACACTGAGCTACTATGGGCTGGAGGCACTGCCGCGTCCCAGGCAAGCTGACCGTCCCGGGGTGGGCATGCTCGCCTCCACGGAGGCCACGGCGAGGGTTGTCTCGGCTGCTACAGACAAAGAAAGCTTCACCCGTATCCGGCCAACGTGGGCGATGTGTCTCGTAGCAAGGCCCGTGCCTGGCAGTGTGCGAGGGGGTCCTGGCACTCCCAGGGCAATACTGAGGGTGAGGGTGATGCAAGGGTGTCCTGGCTCAGGGTGGGCATGCCGGGGCTCCTGGTGCAGTGTGGGCGTGTCCTGGCACAGTGGGCGTGTCCTGGCGCGGTGTGGGCGTGTGTGGGCATGTCCTGGCACGGTGTGGGCGTGTCCTGGCACAGTGTAAGCATGTTCTGGTACAGCGTGGAGGTGCTCAGGGCCCCCGGCGCAGTGTGGGCGTTCCTGGGGCTGGACTCAGCATCTGAAGGAGGTCCGGTGTCCTCGGGCAGAGGCAGCCGTGCAGGCAGAAGCCGTTGGAGCAGCTGGGGTGTCAGAGCCACACCTGGGAGCAGCCCTCGTGGTCCTCGCCCCTGCCCAGAGTCTGGGTCCGTGGGAAACGTGGCCCAGTCACTGCTCTGGCCCCAACTCGGGGTGCTTCTGAGTCCCCTGAGCCTGTCTGCTGCTTCTCGGCACTTTCTAGAAATTCCTGTCGGTGCCCATCGCACACACCAACCAGCAGAGGGAACCTGCATGCTAGGGCGAGAGCCACGGGGCCTGCGGGGCACAGTCGGCTCGTGGGAGCGAGGGCTGGGCATGGTTGGACCCGGGGACGCACTCCCTGCCCGGCCCAGCTGGTCTGGAGGACTCTGCCCCCGAGTCCATCCTCCCTCCCTCTGAAGCTCACTGTGAGCAGCGCTCATCGTTTCAAACAGTGACTCCAGATGGTAGCACATCCCCTAAGGCACTCTGGTGGTTTTATAACAGGCCAGCATAGAAAAATACAAAGTATTTTTAGATATTTCTGCTTATATAAATTAGCTGCTTCTCAACACCTAGCATCATTCTAAGTACCTTCTTTTGCCAAAAAAAAAAAGAAGAAGAAATTGTGTCGCTGCCCCTTCCACTTTGCCAGCACAGACGCCCCTGGGAGCCCCCAGTTCCCTCCAGGCCACCTGCCTGAAGAAGGCGGCAGCCCCTGCCTGTCGCTGGGCCTCTGCAGACTGACCCGAGCGCTTTTCTCTTCTCCCACACCGTCTTCCAGATCCGCGTGGGATTTCTCACAGGGCAGATGTAATTCCAGCTTCTCGTTAGGCAGCATTATTGTTTCATTTCCTGAGTATGGTTCCCCAGAATCATAAAACTCACCAGCCAATAAGGACAGGGCTGGAATGAAGCCCGGTTGGTGGCAGCCCTCCGCTCCCCCTTGGTGACTAGAAGGCCTTTGTGTCCAACAGGCGGTGATGTTCATCGGCTGCCCAGGGCTCATTCCTGCCTGGGGGTGGGGGTCCCAGGAGAGATCCCTTCCACTCCTGCTGGGGGCAAGCAGGGGTCCCAGCACAAGGTCCCTCCCACCCGTCATATTGCAGACTTCTGCAGTGAACACACTGGGCACAGAGAGGAAAGAGCAGTAGGTGGGAACAGAGCTGGGTGGGGGAGACGCAGGGGGTGCAGGGACGCAGAGGCCAGACGCTGCTTTGTGGCCCCCTCATTCTGTTTTTGCTGTTCAGTAGATGTAGCCCATCCTCAGGATGATCGTTGGCAGCACAGCATCGGAGAGACCAAGGGTGAAGCCGAGCTGCTTTTAGAAACAACACACCTGTTAGGGGAATGGTTTAATCAGCGGTGCTGGCATGATGCCGGCATCTAACTCTTCTGCATGATCCGATCACACTTCTCAAGTCATCTGCGATCTGTGTCTTCAAGAAATTCAGCACCGATGACTTTGTCCATTTTAGCATAAGAAATACCTAAATATAATGCCTGTGCTTTTACTAAGTGAATTTGGTGAGGTATTTTTTTTCCATTTAAAATACGTGTGCATAGAATGATTGCACTCATTTGGGGGATATAAAAAAATATATAGTACGGGACTAACATGCAAGGGTCAGAAGAACACCCAGTAAAAAATAAGGCCTGGGAGGATTGCTTGGAAGCCTGTCTCGGGTGGGAGAGAGAAGCGACCACTATGACAATGCCGGCTGAAGGGATTGCTTGGGTCGGGAGACGTGAGCTGGGCGTGGGCAAAAGGCCAAACACCAATACAGTGTCCGTATTGCAAAGTGTGATGTCCCAAAGGAGAGGGAGACAGAGAAGAAAAGTGCCAGCCATAGAGGTGGGCTGGGGTGGGGTGGAGAGGGAAGGGCAGGAGGGATACTGGGGACACTGGTGGCGGGAAGTGTCCACTGGTTGGGGGGACGGGTGTTGGAACACTGTATGTCTGACAGCCGATCACGAAGGCTTTGTAACTATATCTCAAGATGATTCAATTAAAAAATTAATAATAATAATAAATAAAATATATATGTAAACCCGTATTTCATCTAGTATGTACGAGGGCTTGTCCTTTGGCTGTTAGTCACCCAGTAACGGCTGCTCTGTACACCCCCAGGTCCGGGATGGCATCTTCACTCCCAGAGCCCAGGTGCTGTGGTCCTCGTGGCCAGCCAATGGGGCACGCCTGCGCACACGAGAAGCTGAACAGGCAGCCCCTGCCACACACGAGCCCCCAAATGGAAATGGTCCCATCTGCACCTGTGAGCGCCTCTGTGCCAGCCCCACAACTCCCTGCCCAAAGAGGGCAGCAGCGGGCCAGGGGAGTCCCCTGGGGGGGGGGGGTGGAATTGGCCATCAGAGTCCCATCCTTCACACCACTGCTGGGACCTGGCCCCAGTCAGCCCCTGGTCTCCACCCCCCACGGAGTCTGGGGAGCGCTTGGAGCTCAGCTTTGCACAGGGGGAGGGAAGCGCTCCTCAAAGCCCCTCTGGCTGCATCTGCTCTGCGGCCCAAATCCCCCTTGGTGGAATTAATCATCATCAGCCTTGGGGGAGCTGCAGCTGGGGCCCAGGCGCGGCTGAGCAAAGCCCTCCCGAGCTGGAGAGCTGTGCACAGCAGCACAGCAGGCAGGCGGGGGTGGGTGCTCAAGACCCCAGTGGGGACAGTCCCAGCATGGCAGGAGGGCAGTGGGGGGTAGAGGGGTGAGGCCGCAGGAGCAGGCACCCAGCCCCATGTTCCCAGTCAGACCCGATCTCACTGCAGGTTGTCCGTGACCCCCGGCCATAGGTGCAGAGGAGCAGATGCTGCCAATCAGGGCCCCTGAGCAACCACGTGCAGGACTGGGAGAAGCAGCAGGACCATTGGCACAGGCGTCTCCATGTCCAAGTCACTGGCCAGCCAGAGGACCAGGAAGCTGTGGGGACAGGCGCTGACCACAGAGGGT